CGATTTAAAAGTCATCTCAATGACACCTTTCCACACTGCTAATCGGCCAAACTGAGACACAAGCGGTGTGTATGCGACTAAGGTCTGGGGAGTTCACGAGCCCTTTGCCTCACATATATCCTGTATGACAGCATTTCATCACAGAGGTCGGCTTGACGAGGAAATCAGGTCATACCTCCGCGAGGTTCTCACAGCTAAGTGCGTTACTAATGGGATATAATATTTCCTGACTCTGTTATGACACCATAACACACGACAGCTGCTTTGGGTCAGTGGCTCGCTATTATTTGGAATTTCTCAGCACATGTGAATGCGGATCTCAAACAACCCATTGGTGACTGTGACGTGATAATGGCTCTGTGAAAACAATGCGTTTTCGTCACTGAGCTCAATAACTGTAACGCCAAAAGACTCCGAAGCCTTAAGAGTGGACAGTAGCACAGCTTTTAAACACTGTGTGCATAAAAACTGATTTAAACCCCAATATATTTACAACATCTTTCAATGTACTCACTTTGTCTTCTTGTTCAAGTGAGAATGGGGACATTAAATTATTTTTAACCTGCTACCTGCTGTAAGCTGCGTAACATATCTGATGCTCCTGTGTGAGAACAGCCCAGGTATTTGCAAGTTGACGTCACGCGTCCTGCTACCTGCGTGGCAGCATCTTCACTTTCCAGAAGTGAAAATACATCTGAGCAGACTATCTGCACTGATCTGATATATGTACACATGTGAAAGACTACCTTTGGGCGATGTCTCGACTTGATTGTCCCACCATTGCCTTGAGTTAAATTCACATTACTTTATGATTCCAACACATACTCTTTTCACCTAGTTGTCCGACTTATTGCATAAATCACTTAACAGTTATCTAGAAACCAATCTGATCTATCTCCAGTAGTTCATCTACGGCATGTTCGTCTTTGTTCTGTGAGAAAAAAGCGTACCGTACTTTTCCTAACTGTTGGGTACCGTGTGATGACGAAGGCACTAACCACACCTGACACTCAGAAGTTGTCAGGTGTTCAAAAGTACAACTTCTAAGTGTACTTTTGAACTGTAACACTTTAGACTACAAGTTGTGGATTAATACGATAACAGAAATCTGTGGACATTTCCACTTACTGCTGAGTAGAAGTGATGGACTCATAACAATCCCTCACCACACACTGGTACCAATGAACCTGGAGACTTTCCCCACATCCACCTTTTGTCAGATTCACATTTGAAACATACAAATAAAGAAACAAAACAACCAAGAGCATGATCCAGCAGCTGTCCGTGGCATTACGTTTCAATGCAGGCTGCAGAGTTTCAGCAACAAAATGTCTCCGTGTCAAAGTTTCCTTCAGCAACAAGCTGTAGCCTAAGTTGCTTTGGAGGCAAAAACCAGAGTGATATTTCTTTCAGCTCTCTGCTCTCATAGGATTTCTACGGTGACGATATTTATGGCAGCACTGATGATACGAAACCTTCAATTCCTCCAGTTTAAGCAAAGAGCAAAACCTGCCAATGATTGTTGAGGTTCTCATTTAACAACCACTTTATCCTAATGCAAAGTCTAATATGATCTCTATATATTTGTAGATTAGAAATCTATTAGAAAATTACTAGGTCATTGAGTTTATTGTTACTTTTTTGAAGATGATTTTCTGATTTTTTTCATTTGCCTTTCGTGTTATTGTTAGCAGAGAACACCTTTTATTAAAATCGAGAGCAGCTGTTAACATCCGTTTGACTTCTTTCAGGAATTCTATTCAAAACTTGGCGCTTCTTCCATTTTTAATATTATTTTTCTCTTTAAGAGACTCAACTCGTGTCCTTAGAGAAGGTGAAATGGATTCGGCACCTGAGAGCGACGCGGTTTGCACTACTGTAGGTATTTACGTATTATATCATTGTGTCAGCATGTGCATGTTTGTGCAGTGTGTGGGCACAGACAATAGGCCTTTGTCTCTTCGTATCCTATTTTTCTGCAGTGGGCTCACACACACACAC